ATGAATGCGAATGCGCGATTCTATCCAAAATAGAGCAATCTTATAGCGTTTTCGATTGGGAAAAAGTTAGTGCGCACCAGTGCGCACTCAGTTCACACGAACACTGGACAAGTTCCATGGGTTGCACTGAATAGTGCAGGTGAAAAAGAACACGCCGAAATTTTCAGTGCCACTTGAGTTGACTAGATTCCGGGAAGAACGAAAAAGTAACCTCGACATCTTGTGTTCAGTTAAGTAATGATTTTTATTATATGTAATTAAATATAGAAGATGATCAAGAATATCACGTATGACAAATATAAAAATTATTATTTTCCAGTATAAAAATGCTATTACATTAAGTACATTAAATATATTTTAAAAAGGGTATAGGTTCGATGTTTATATAAAAAGATATAACACTTACGGTGTCATTATCCATTTTTTTCACACATTCTACATAATTTACAGTTTTTGGAATTATTCTTTTAGTTCGAAGAGTTGTAATTATTTCTTCTTGCTCGCTTGAACTAGAAGAAGATTCCAAAAATGTCTCCAAAATATTAAAGAGAGTCAAATCCGAATTGCTCATTATGTCGAATTTTCGTTCAAAAGAATGCCCTACTGCTTGCATGCATCCAGTGCACTGAACTGGCACCGTCAAAATATCTCGTGCCACTTAGTGCGCACTGAGTGCGCACTATGCGAGTGTTGTGCGTTCAAACGAACACGCAACACTAGCCAAGTGCGCATTGGCACTACCAATCGAACACGCGCCTGACATTCAGTGCAGCCAGTGCACCCCAATCGAAAACGCTATTACTGATGCGTCATAAATTATGCAATAAAATGGGATGTTTTGATTGGTTAATTTGTGACGCGCCGGATGACGCGACGCGCTCAGTGGAAACGCGCCCTTACTATTTTGGAGATATTTGGCCATTGCCCCGTTGCCGGACTTTTTAACTACTCTGTATATATTTGACGTGCATTGGAAATAGCCGTCTAACCTGTGTCAGTCATGTTTTCTTCATTCTTACGTTTTTTTATAATAAATTTCATTTAAAGCGAAAAATGGTTAGAAAGTGCTATATATGTGAGAACAGGTATCATAAAAATAAGAATATGGTTTACATAAGTAAGTATAAAAATCATTATTGAAATATGTTTAATTACAGCGAGAGCGAAGCAATTGATAATGGTATTAGGGCTGGTTGTTTCAACTCTTGGTAAATTTTACCCGACAATAGCATATCTTTGACTCTTTTTTTAGAACTTATCTGAAAAAAGAAATATCTTATATCTGTCAGATAAAATTTATCGAGAAGTTGGAAAAATCGGACCATAATGTTTCAGGTAATGTACATATAAAAATATTATAATTTCAAAATTAATATAGTCAAAATATATACATTGTATCTGAAATAATGCTAATATTTTCTAACAGAATTAATAAAGGCTCTTGCATAATGCCAGGCAACAGAATGAGAATAAGAGAAATATAGAAAATATTAACCATTCGGAAAAGAAGATAAATATTATTATCTGCTTTTATTGGTGGATATTTTCTATTTCTTATTCCTGTTACCTGGCATTGTGCAAGGTCCGTAGATAAACGACGGGAGGGAAAGTCTCATAAGGGCAGACATTTGAAGCGTCTTGGTAGCGAATATGATGACGTATTTTATGGCCGATATTCACAGTTGGTTCTTATTGGTGGCATATAGGCGAATCCCCCAGATGCCTTAGCAGCCATACAGAAAAAGAAGAAAAAGAACAGTTGGTTCTTAACATTGTGCCATATAGGCCTAATTTACATCAAGCACTTGATACGCGTATCACTTAGTATATTTGAACTGGTCAGCCAATAACTGAACCAATTTACTAGTAATTTACTATTTGATACGCGTATCAAGTGCTTGATGTAAACTAGGCCATAGGCGAATTTCCCAGATGCCTTAGCAGCCATACAGAAAAAGAACAGTTGGTTCTTATATTTAAGATTGTTGATATATTGAATCAATGTCGATTCGACCAGTCATTTCTCACTGGGTAGTGTCCAAAAAGAAAGTTTGATTTCTAGAGACTCCGATGTAGGATTTACACTGCATCCGATATCCAATAAGAAAATTTTATTTCTAATTCTAAAGACTGCTAGAAATTCTACATATTAACTTTTCTGCTGAAATCAAATTTTATTCGATTATTCAATTTTAGTGTTGTGTTCCAAAACGTTCTTTCCGAGGAAAATTTTACTGAAAAAGCTATAGTGTACGTTACGTGCATTATAACTTGAGTAAAATTTTCCTTGAAGAGGACATTTTGGAACGCAACCTAGGTTTCAAGGTGCTAGATATATCTAAGGTTGCGTTCCAAAACGTCCTCTTCGAGGAAAATTTTACTGATAGTTTATAATATATGTAACGTGTATTATAGTTTTAAGTAAAATTTTCCTCGAGGAGGACGTTTTGGAACGCAACCCAAGTAGTAAATTCACGTCATTAAATGTCAAACTGACGTCATATGACGTCAAAATAACGTCAGCTTGCTACTTGGGTATACACATCGATATATATAATGGATAGAGCATTGCGACAGCCAAATGGGCGCCCACTATCGAGAGAGAGAGAGACTACATCTGAGGCCTATGTTTGTTTCTTTTGCTAGCATCTCATTGGTTATATGGAGACAATATAACTAATGAGATGCTAGCAAAAGAGACAAACATAGGCCTCAGATGTAGTCTTCTCTCTCGATAGCGAGCGCCCGCTTGGCTGTCACAATGCTCTATCCATTATATATATCGATAGGTATATATAAGTTTTTTAAATTATTTATATATATATATATATATATATATATATATATAACATGTATTATAGTAGTATAATTTTATACCGTGTATATAATTATTAGTACGGTTCGGTATGCGCTCAAATGCTCTAACCGCTACGCTCCAAGTACCATCAAACATACAGTTCATGAACGCTATATAGGTGCTACAGTTACTAAGCAAATGGACCAAGTTATAGCACTTGTAGCTGTGTAGCACGAGCATATTCTTCTGTCACATGTAACGTAAATATGTTATCAGTTTTTTCATCAAGCAACTGTAATTCGATTTTAAATTTCTCAATAGTATTACAACTCTTCTTAGCAAGGTCCGTAGATGAATGACGAGAGGGGAAGGAAGGTCGTCGCATGAGCCGCCATTTTGGGACCACAAAGTTATGTGTGTTGCATGTCGGTGTTGTACGAAGTGTTAGTGAAAAAAAACTATAGTTGAACAACTGTCCAGTGGTTGGATTGGCGGCGCCATATTGGGGCCAATGCTGAAATATGAATGCGACGACCTTACTTTTCCTCCCGTCGTTCATCTACGGACCTTGCTTCTTAGGCCTGTTCTACAATACGCCGTATGTCGCCGTATTTTGTTTTCGAAAAAGAAATTTTCTCATTGAACCTCATCGCTTACGTTCCGACTGTGACATACAACGTATTGTAGAACGGAACTTAGTATGTATTATACTACAATTGTTCATGGATGCCAGATTTCTACAACACTACAGTTAACCCACCTTGTAAGGACAAGCGATTTGAAGTGTCTTGGTAGCGAATATAATACGAATATGTACGTATTTGATGACATTATAAGGTTTGCTGTAGCATTTTATAGCGCTAAGTGAACCAACCGTAGCGCTGCTACAAACGCTCCGTAGTACTTATAGCGCAAATCGGACCGCTCTATACTACATTATAATCAGGGTTGGGAAGTAACGAGTTACTTGTAACGAAGTTACAGTTACAATTACTTTTTTTCGGTAACTATAACTTAACTTCGTTACTTTTCTCCATCTGTAACTGTAACTGTAACTTAGTTACATTTTTTTAGTAACTAGTAACTATTTTAATAGTTACTTTATTAGTTACTTTTTTTGGAAACATGCGCTAAAAGTATTGTTTAAGTATGGTAGCCGTTCTATTATTAAATTAAATTTTGATAACAGTAGCATATGGATCTTCATATGATTTAATCTTTTACCTAAAATTTTCATTTTGTGTACATAAAATAATATAACACATAATTAAGATCGACCAATTACAGTCAAATATTTAAAAAAATTCTTAAAGGTAATAATTGATCGATTTGCTTGCGACTTTGCGATTACCATTTAGTAACTTACTATAACTATTTTTACTGTTGTATATAAAGGTCATTCATACATTGATGTTAATTGCAAAGTCGCAAGCAAATCGATCAATATTACATTCAAGAATTTTTTTAAATACTTGACTGTAATTGTGCATAAAATGTAAGCTCCTTATATTTAAAACAATGTATAATTATTTTTAAAAAGTAACTGAAAAGTAACGACTCGTTACTTTTAGAGTAACTGTAATGAGTTATTTTTTAAAATCGGTAACTTGTAATTGTAACTAGTTACTTTTTCAATGAAATAACTGTAACTGTAACTAGTTACTTTTACAAAGTAACTTTCCCAACCCTGATTATAATATATATTTATATATTATAATGGAATGAGGCTACTACGCATGCGCGATGTTATTTCTTCTGACTAAGCGCTTATACCTAAGCGGATTGTCTCAGTTTTTTAAATTAATTTTTAACTAATTATATTGTGAAGATTGCAAAACGACAGATTTTCCTATTTTATTTAGTAATTAATTTAAAAAATCGGTTAATTCGCCCTAATATGAGCGTGTAATAAGAAGAAACAACTCAATATTATGCGGTTATTCCCAGTGAGAAATGATGGTCGAATCGACATCGATTCGTTATCGAATCGATGATGATTTGACCAATCATTTCTCACTGGGTTAGGTGCGTGATGAAATTGTTAGTATTAATATAAGTTTAATAATTTTAATATTATATATAACACCCATACACACACATCAGTGAATATATTATGTACTTACCGCGGGAAAAAATTAGAAAGAACTTTTATTCTCATGAAACCGATTTATGAGAAATGCAGAAATATCTTTAACACAAATTTTTCATTATTTTTTAAAAAATTATTTAATTTCTCATTAATTATAGCGAAAATCGCGAAATAATAGAGGATTTCCCAACTCAATCCGCAACATGAGAGGCGATAGCGATTATTACTGGACACCCTATATACGTATATATATAGGTCTATGGTGTAAATGGAAAGCAATTTCTTTCTCTTTCTCTCTCTCTTTCCCTTTTAGCAAGGAGAGCAAGAAAGAAGCGCCAATCATTGCACTCGTCGCGCGAAAAAATCGAAAAGAACTTATATTCTCATGAAACCGATTTACGAGAGCCACAGAAATATCTCAACACAAATTTCTGCACATTATATATATGTGTATATATATATGTGTGTACGTGTGTATGTATATATACATCTTAACATGCGTCTAAATTTATGTTAAGGCATTTCTGTCCCCATACACATTTCTGTATACATACATTATAAACACTTACGTGCACTCACACACATATATAGAATGATATATGTGTGAGCGAAATGCAATAATCGCACTTAAGGCTTCGCAATTCGCGATTAATTAATATCGGCGAGGATGGAATAAAGGTGGAATTTCTTTCGCTGATCTGCGCAAAAAAATCCAATCTCTCTGCTGAACTCGGGCCGTCGATAGACGACGAAGAAGAGGAAGAAAAAAAAAGTGTCAAGCCGCCTGCTGTTGTTACTGGCTGCGCGCGTATATAAGAATGTGGCATTTCAAAATGGCTGCCAGCTATTCTAGTAATTTACGGCCGTGTCTGCCTTTGTTGTCGCGCGCGTGAATCGCGAAATTTCTCGCGCTGCGCCCGCCGGAGGGACCCCGAAGAGATCGGCCGAGGACGGGAACCAGGTCCATCCGACTCCGACGACCGATTCCTCGCGCGCAAGCACGCAGTGATGCTGCTATACACGCGCGTACGCATGTGTATACGTTCACCCGTCTTCTCTGGATCTGTAGCTGGACGTCGCCCAGGAGGCAGTTTGGCCCGTTTTTATAAAAATCCAGACGCTCTAGGTCGCGCCGCACCTTGTCCAGGTCGCACCAGTCTCCGCTCGCCGAGCGACAGAGCGAACTTAAAGGCTACATGAGCCATTTGGAAAATATATGCTGGGAACAACTGCTGCTTCTCACCATTATTATCACTCTATCGGGGAAGCTCCGTTCTGTGGAATCTCTCCTCCTCCTCCTCACATTGTAGCATCTTTCGATCACGTTTACGTTAAACTTTGGGTCTCTTCTGGTTTATCATCAGCATCTTCGTCCAGTTCCTTTGATCACAGTATGCCCAAGATAGGTTAGCCATTTCTCAGCAATGGCTTATCTTCGCGTGGCAGGAAGATGCCGAAAAACAAATGCCTACGCCTCCTGCCTTCGCATTTTCTTCGTCGATCTAACGAGGTGGACGACCGAGCGAAATCGTCTCTTGTAACGGTGTGAAGAAGCATCGCTTGTTTTCGACCGAGTTTGATGAGGGTCCTTTTTTTCCTACGAGTATACGTTTTGTATTATATTGTGATGTAGATATCATCATTTTACGTTTACCTTGATTGAGGAACGTCTAGGGACGACGGTAATCCCTCGAGTCTGAGCGTATCTTGAACTGAGTTAGCAATATCCTGGTTAGCTGCATCTCCAATCATGACACTGGAAAACATCCGCGGCAGGGTGAATTAGCAGTGATCTGTAAGTATTACAAATTTTATGAATTTTTTATATAGTTTTATATTTACGAGTGTATCGCGCACGCATATTTACGTCTAAATAATATCAAGGTAATTTTAATCAATTAATTTAAATAGGATTACACAAAATTAAGTCTTTATTGCATCTTAATAAATATTAAAATTTGTAAAAAAGAGTATAATATGATATATATGTAGAAAAATGAATTCCTTTTGTGACTCCTTAAGGAGTCACATTAGTAATAATAATAACATATCCCAGATAGCGAGCGTACGTCGTGACGTTGAATGACGTACATAAATGTCAAAATCACGTCATTTTGCCGTTTAATGACGTCAGCTACTTAGGATTTTATACATACAATATATGAACATATATATAATCTTTTACACACGCAGACATATATAATATATATTAGTTATAGATGTTAATTATTTATGTGTTAGTATTTCGTACAAATAACCCCAGGTAGTAAACGCGCGTTATTTTGACTTAAAATACTACCTGGAATGTTAATAAATCTAAATTTTGAAGATGATTTGAAGTAAACCAAAACAAAATTAATATTATAAAAAAAACAAGTATTTATGTATCTAATTCATAACATTTTTTTGTTCTTCTATAAGATTTATATTTTATAGTCACATATAGGTATACATATTTCTATTATATTATATATTTTAACTGTGAGTGTAATAAAAAATGTTTTGTTGCAGATACATTAATATATGTCACAACCAGATTAAAGCTAGGTCCTAAAAGGCCTAGCATGGGCCACTATGAATCCACCTGTGGTCAACAAATCGAGCACTCGCGGCTCTGGATATCACCAGAAGGCGTTAGCTGAAATTCGCAATTCGTTACTACCATTTGCAAATATCGGCGGGGTTGGAGAGGTGGGTTCCAGTGCCGCCAGCACCATCTCCACCGTATCCACGACCAGCGGCATCAGCTCCGCTTCAGGTCTTAGTGGACTCTCAGGCGCGTCCGGCTCCAACGTCGATAAACCGGAGCAGCGACAGGCGTTAGGCCAATTATTAGCCATGGGGTATTCGGAGGTGAGACGAGACGAGGAGAGTCGCTGTTCGAGCTCTTCGTTTTAAAATTACTTATTAATGGACGATTTTAAACGATGAACAACTTATCGATCCTCCAAATCGTTTGCAGGAAACAGGATTGCGCGCCATGAAGTTCACGGGATGGCGATTGGACGCAGCGATAGAGTACTTGAAGCAGACCCAAGTGGAATCCTTAAACGGACTCGGTAAACTCAACACCAAACTCATCAGGAAGCCGAGTTTGGAGAGGGAATTGAGTCTGCAGCGCGGTAGCCCCGCGTTGGATAGTGGCGCCGGCAGCTCGCGATCCGACAGCCCGCGTCTTACGGACATTGGCGCGCATCCGCAGCTGAGTCGTCAATACTCGCCGAATAATTTTGCGGAGCGCGAGCCACCGCCACCGCCGCCGCCCCGATGTAGCTCCACGCCGCCGCCACCGCCGCCGCCGCACGCGCCTTACAGTCAGCCGAACGTGCCCACCAACATGCAACAGATGTTGAAACGAATGTCACCGGCGCCGGTCGTGCCGACGAGGCCGTCCGGAGCGACGACGTCCGGCACGGTCGGCGGCGCCACGTCAACATCGGCGAATCCGCCGCAGCGTGGCACCAGTCCGGTGGCGAGTGTCAACAACACCGGCAGTCGTCAGCCGATGATCGTGCAAAACGGTCCCCAGGTGCAGCAGCAGCTGACGCAGCAGATGCAGGCCCTCAGCATTTACCAGACAAGCAATAGCAACACGAGTACGCAGATCGAACCACCGCCACCGTATCCCATAGGTTCGTCCTCGTCGGCCGGTCAACCGGTACAGCCGCCTTCTTATAGCGTCTCCATGCAGAATCGACAGAGTCCCACGCAGTCGCAGCAGGATTACCGCAAGAGTCCGTCCTCGGGCATCTATTCGGGCCCGACATCTGCTGGTACGCCCAGTCCCATCACCGTGTCCACGATATCGCCCAACAACACGCAGACGTCGATGGCAAGACCGACCCCGTTGCAAGCGTGGGGCGCGCGACAGGCGAAGACGCAACCGCCGATCATCATGCAGTCGGTGAAGAGCACCCAGGTGCAGAAACCCGTGTTGCAGACCGCGATCGCGCCCACGGCGCCGCAGCCGATTTCCAGTACTAACAGCACCCCGCCACCACCGCCCTCTTATGCGTCCTCCATTCAGCAGAAGCAACAGCAACAGCAACCACTGCCCGCTTATCCACCCGTCAACAATGTACCCGCGCCGTCCGCCAATATCCCGACGACGGAGCCGCCGAGTTACGCCACGACGATGCAGGCATTGGCGGCGCAACGTGGAATACATCATTCGTTGCCGCCGCCGCCTTACAGCACCCCAACCGAGGATCCGTCGATCGTGTCCTCTACGATGGAGAGCGGTAGCGCGCCTCGATCTTCCCCGATCGCCCATCATCCGCCACTCCAGAGGAAATACTCGCCGGTCGACAACTGTCAACACGGGATGGTGGACGCGCCATCTCTACCGCCGGTCGCCTCGACCTCGATGTCGTCGTCGGTGAGGAACAATAATCACTCGTCCCTGCCCGAAGGCGTCGCCGTGGTCACCGCGACTGGTACTAAAGGCGGTGGTACCGGTAAAGGCGATCACGGCGGCAATTCGCCTCTGTCCTACAAGATCAAGCACCAGTCCCCCATTCCCGAGCGGAAGACCATGAGCATAGAAAAGGAGGAGGAGCGTAGGGACTGCAAGGTGAGAAACTACTCGCCCCAGGCCTTCAAGTTCTTCATGGAGCAGCACGTGGAGAACATACTCAAGTCGCACAAGCAACGTCTCTACCGGCGTATGCAGCTGGAGACGGAGATGGCGAAGATCGGCCTGAGCGCGGAGGCGCAGTGCATGATGAGGAAGATGCTGTCGCAGAAGGAGTCCAATTACATCAGGCTGAAACGGGCGAAGATGGACAAGTCGATGTTTACGAAGATCAAGCCGATCGGGGTGGGCGCGTTCGGCGAGGTCACCCTCGTCAGAAAGCTCGACACGAATCAGTTTTACGCGATGAAGACCTTGCGGAAAGCGGACGTGTTGAATCGCAATCAGGTGGCCCACGTGAAGGCTGAGCGCGACATTCTGGCCGAAGCCGACAACGAGTGGGTCGTTAAGCTGTATTACTCGTTCCAGGATAAGGATAATCTGTACTTCGTGATGGATTATATACCCGGCGGCGATTTGATGTCGTTGTTGATCAAGCTCGGGATCTTCAAGGAGCCGCTGGCGCGATTTTACATCGCCGAACTTACGTGCGCGGTCGAGAGTGTTCACAAAATGGGATTTATTCACAGAGACATTAAACCGGACAACATATTAATCGATCGTGACGGACATATCAAATTGACTGATTTCGGCCTCTGCACAGGATTCCGTTGGACTCACAATTCGAAATATTACCAGCAAAATGGTAAATATCTTTCATCATTTTTTTGCTTCAAATAAACGCTTCAATATCGGATTATGCTACAGTTAATATTAATTTTGTAATAATTTTAGGCAAAATTGAAAGCAAGGTGTTATTTTATATTTTGTATTGAGATTTCTCAAAATCTAAGTTTTCAAAATAAGTTTCATATAAAATTAATTTTTTTATTAAAATAAATACAGTATGACAGCTCTCGTGAATTAATTAAACAATAATTAATAATAGGCTGTGAAGAGCTAGCGCTGAAGGAAGAGCGCAAATGACCATGAGTAAAAATATTAAGTACACAGATTATACGATAGATACGTAAAAATCGATTTATAAAAAATTATTTTTTTTTTAAAAATATGACATATATTTTTGCACCGGTCGAAATGAAAAATTGGTGAATTCTGTAAGCTTACAAAATTATAAAGCAGTTAGTCTTTGTTGTCTTTTAAGATAGAACTATTTAAAATAGATAAGCAGATATCTCAACTGTATAAACATATAACTGACAGTGATGGTAGACTATTTTGTATGTAGTATTAGCGTGAGCATTTTGACACACACATTTAATCGTTCAAGATAGACCTCAAAAATTAGAATTTCGAATTTATAAAAATTTAGAACTTTTAGCCTGGCTCAGTTTGGGTTCTTGAAATTGCTATCAAGTCTCTGACTTTAAATTAGTAGCAACTTTATGTCTTCAATCGTAAATTTTTCTGTTACTTGCATCTGCATAATATTTTTAGGTTTGAGAAGTAACTCGTTACTTGTAACGAAGTTATATAATTATATTTTTTGGTAACTATAACTTTGTTCTTTTTTTCTATATCTATAACTATAACTTAATTTATTGTTATATTTTTTTGGTAACTAGTAACTAATTTAATAATTACTTTTTAATAGTTTGTTTAAACTTAGGGCTAACAATTTTCCGCAAAGTTACGACTGTAGGAAATTTTATAAATTTTTTAACTAAAAAATTTGAATCTTATAATTTTTATTTTAAGTAAATGATATTAATTATTGTATTAGAAGAAGTTAATTTATTACAAATTATTAATTTAATAAATTAAATATATTTTTGTTTTAAATTTAAAACAATTCTAATTTATTACATATAAAATAATATAGTACATAATCAAGTTATAATATATAAAAAATAGTAATAATTCAATCGATCAATTCTGAATAAAAAACAAAAATTCGATCTTAGAATATGACATCATATAATAACATGATAGTATAAAACGAAATAATTATATATATAGTTATTTCGTTTTATACTATCATGTTATTATATGATGTCATATTCTAAGATCGAATTTTTGTTTTTTAAAAAATAGTGATTTACTTTGATTTAAGAACATAGCACTTGATAAGGGCCGAAACCCACGGCCGAAACGTGAAAATTCAATAAATTTACTTATTTGCCAGAATTGGTCGATTGAATTATTACCATTTTTTAATTATCATCTGGTGACTTCATAGTTTTATATCATTTATAATATATAATTTAGTAAAGGTGCATTTTCACGTGTCGTTAAAATAAGTGATTGAAGCGACAGATTTGTCGCTTGTAATTCAGCACTAACAATTTTGTAGTTTGAATCAGTTCAACTACAAAGCATTTATTGCTCAAACACTGAACTTTCAATTCTGTTTAATTCAACGACAAAATTGTTCCGTGATCATTTTTGTCGTTCAAACAATCGGTTTCAGCGGCTCATGAAAAGGCACCTTAAAGCTTGAAATATACATAAGATTATTATATTTAAAATGTAATATAGTCATTACAAAAAAAGTAACTGAAAAGTAACGATTCATTACTTTTTGCGTTATTATAACTATAAGTAGTTACTTTTTCAGTGAAAAAAAAAAACTGTAACTGTAACTAGATACTTTTACAAAATAACTTTCTTAATCCTGTTCATAAGTACTTTGTCTTTGAAACGTGAAAGCCAATTTAAATTGATTTCAACTGCTTGTTTAAACTATAGACTTTCGGTTTGTACATAAATACTTCATACTGAGAAAATCTCTTATGTGATTCTTTAATTATAGAAAAAATTGATTTTTTACCGCTACCATTTTGAGAAGGATCCTCAAATTAATTTGTAATAAATTAACTTCTTCTAACAGAATAATTAATATTATTTACTTAGAATAAAAATTAGGAGAGTTTGATTTTTTAGTTAAAAAATTCATAAAATTTCTTACAGTCGTAACTTTCCGGAAAATTGTTAGCTCTAAGTTTTAAATAAACTAACTATTAAAAAGTACGTCATTTTGACGTCGAATGACGTCATTAGACGTCATTTTGTTTAATGACGTTAGTTTGCTACTTGGGCAATGTGATTAATCAATCAGAGAATTCTAGTGTTTAACTTACTAATTAACAATGTAGATTGTAGATTATCGAATTCCGTCTGTCATTTTGGATCCTATTTATGATGTATTATGTACTGGATCTTGACTTTTAGTCCTACGTCTGATTTTTCAGTATTCTAATATCTTCTCGATATTTCCGATGTTTCTTTTGCTCAGATTCTTGTGAATTTGTCTGCTATTTAGAGTTTTTCTAAAATCTATCAACAATATTTGTTTTAATTATAATCATCAATTCAATCCAACATGAAGTACTTAAGTATTTACTTATTACTTACCTTCAAATTAAGATTACGCAATCCGTCTTTTACTTCTGTACTGGTTAGCAAATCTATATGTTCAGCTGCTTCATTACTGATGTTGTCTTCTTTTAATTGTTCTCATATCATCTTGCTTGTTATTAGGATTCCGCGCTCTTCCAACTTCGTTTCGAAGTTCGTTCGCCAATAGATGTTGATCCGTTCGTCTAACAAAATTTTTATGCTAATGAAAATACTTATTTAGTCAGCTCTTTTAATTTTTAAAGCCACAATCTCCACTTGATTCCTCTCGACCAATAGAGCCAAACGCGATGTTATTGCGACAATTATGAAAGAAAGAACATTTGAAAAGGAATTTGAATCCTGTGGTTGGGATCTCAAAAATTCCCCTTGTTCCTTCTCCTAACATCCCTTGTAAAGAAAATAGGCGAGAAAAATATTGGTCCGAAAGTCGGCTGAATCGGGACTTGGAATACTGGATAATAAGACTCTGGATAATAAATTGACGAAGTCAGTTACATGATTTTGTAAATTATTTTTCAGAACAAAAAAAATTTTTTTTTTAAATCACAGTGCGTTGAAGTTGACATTTCAAGCTTCAAAATGCTGTTTGAATTTTTTTGTCTATACGGTTTTTCCTCGAATATCGGTATTATTTCTGAAAAATAAGTTAAGTTTCAAAATCTATAGCTGGATAAAAAATCGTAAGAAAATCTAAAAAAATAGCATTTTGTAGGCAAAATGTTATAGTTTATGGAACATGAGTAAAAATTTTTCGAAATTTTTTATCAAGTTGCAGTGTCGAAGATACGTAATTTTAAGGAGCAAAACAATACATTTGTAAACTAACTAAAAAATGTAAACATTAACTGACAACTAAACTTTTAAAAATTATAATCGCTCGTATCAAAATAAAAATTCAAACATGTATAACACCAGGCCAACTGAAGAGCATTAAAATGATTAAAAATAACCTAATTTTTATTAATTTAAATGATCACACAAAAAGAAAGAAAAAATTAACTACATAATCGAAATTATTTAATTGATCTTAAGAACAAACTTATAATTAAAAAACACTATATTTGACATATATATTATTAAAATTGACATATAAAATATAATAACAATCGAATAGAATCACAAACGTTTCGGCTTCAAACGTACACAGCCTTTTTCAGTGTAATGAAATAAATTGAAATTACAATTAATCCGAGAGTATCTAATACAATGCGAATAAACTCATTAAAACCATAATGATGCGTGGTCGATTAACCAAATAGATAAACTATGATAATCATCATTCAAATTTCATCTTTAATTCCCATCTATAAATCCTTTGACCGCTTTCAAAGCTCAGGGAAAACAATATGTGTATAAGGATGGATTTTCATCTGATTCCATCGGTGAAAAGCGTGGAATTATCCGAGATCCCATTATAATAAATGAAATAATAATATAATTTTAAATACCTCTCACTTGATTGTTCCGTACCATCTCATCTCAAAGTACCTTATCAATAAATACATTTGTGTTTAGCATAAAATGAGGAAGTTAAATAAAAATTAAAAATGACCGATAGCGCAATTAAAGTTAAAACCGCAAACTTTAAAATGCTTTTTTAATTTTTTGAGACGATGATATATCGAATATCGACATTGTATCTAAAAAGTTTAATTCAAAATTGTAACTCAGTCAAAAATTGTAGAAAAGTTTAATAAAATAACGTTTTGTAGGCAAAATGCTTTTGTGAAACTTGAGAGAATTTTTTTTATCGGGTTGTGCAGTGTCAAAGATGCGTAATTTTAAGAAACAAAACAATGTTTTTTTTTTAAAGTACATAATAGAAAGATAAAAAAATTTTGTAACACTATTGATGTTACGTTAAAGTTGAAACTTTAAGCTTCAGAACTTTAATTTTTAATTTTAATTTTTAATTTATGATTTTTCATCAAATTTTAGCGGTGAAAATATAGCATAATTTTTAGGGTATGAAGAGAGAGTGTATGTTCCCTATTTTTTTGACTGGTGTTTTTAGATTGTATCGTGTATATATATTGTATGTATGGAAAAATTATGATCGAATCCAGTGTGCTTGTTAAATAGTGCTTGTCAAATAATCCGCATATATATATATACATAAATAATATATATATATATATATATATATATAAATATATGTATATTGAAATAAAATATATTCAAAATTTTATGATTGTTATGAATGTTTCGTTTATGAACGTTAAAATTCGTTTCAGATGTAATCAGTCAGGTTGATAAGAAAACTTACTATTTCGAAAATGAATTTTGATTAAATAATAATGAATGCTGAGTGTTTGAAGGTGACTGAATATTGAATGTTGTGATACTGAGCTTAGTCAACATTGTTTTATTCAAAGAATGTCAAACAAATCTTCGTCAAATGTTTTAGTCTTCGATTTTTTAGTGTTAAGACTCATAGAAAATTATGAAATTATTTCAACATATATAAAGCAGCAGATGAAATATCTTCGTATGATTCTAGGTCATGGTAAACAAGATTCGATGGATCCAGCTGACGATTGGAACAACGAATGTCAATGCATACAATTAAAGCCATTAGAACGCAGGCGACATAGAGAACATCAAAGATGTTTGGCGCATTCTTTGGTTGGAACACCAAACTATATCGCACCAGAGGTTTTACAGCGTACAGGATATACACAGTTATGCGATTGGTGGAGTGTAGGAGTAATTTTGTATGAAATGTTAGTTGGTTCTCCACCATTTCTTGCCAATACGCCTGCAGAAACTCAATATAAGGTATGCAGAATGTATTATCTTTTATGCCATTATTTACACATAATTATTAAGACTTCTGGACCCTCGCTGACTATGTTGGAGGCAAGAAGACACGCTAAAAATTCTTAAATGTTATTTCTAAATAAAAAGATATTTCAATGAAATAGCACTTTAGATCGCTTTAGTACATTCTTAAAATATCTCGAAAATTATCCTTTTATTTTAATATAATCAATTAAAGTAGTGAATTAGGGCCAACAATCGAGCAACATTGAAAAACAAATTAAATTAATGTTTAGGAAAACATAAACAATTTATATTACATTATTTTAAAAAACAAATAAAATTTAACACACAAGACTTTGGAACTGAGTCATTAAGTTAAAAAATCCAAACGAAAGATAAAATTTTTTGTTTTTCCGTATGTCATCACATTATCTTATATATGATAATTTTTTATTGTATTAATCTCTGTCTATGTATATCTAGATCACTTGATAAGGACTCAAAGAAGGGTCGAAACGTTGTGATTGAATAAATAATATTTGCCAGTACGGTCGAGAGAAGAATTTTACCTTTTTTAAATTCTGTCTGGCAATTCTCAAATATCTACGTTTTTATTTATTAATTTAATTTGTTTTTCAATGTTGCTCGATTGTTGGCCCTAATTCACCACTTTAATTTGTTATTCAAATACAGAGCGGGTTTGTTCATTAATTTTATTTATATTTTTTTATTAAATTTAATATAATCAGTCAATAACTGTAAAATGTGATATAAGGCCTAGTCCGTCTTGCACAATGAACGTACTTATATATAGACCATTCCTGTATTTTCACTGTGCAGCGAGTGAAGTCGAAAATTGGCAGTTTAAGACAGAGTGGAATAATTGTTTTGACACTATTACTTTCTTACTTTATCGTACAGAGAGATTACGACTGTCCTCTAGCCATTAAAGCTATAAAGAAAATAATGTCACAGTATAAATATATGGCCGTATTTTAAAATTGACTGTACTGAAATACTATAGTTTACTACACTAGTTTAGTATATATATATATATATATATATATATATATATATATAATATAGTTAAATTCGTCTCGACAGGGCCTACAATTTTTTATTTCAAAAAATTAATTTCCACTTTTAAGAAAATAATGATCAATGAAATTCTTGAAAGTGGCATCATCTTTAAATAAATTGATATCACTGTCCCTTTTAAAGTCAAACTTTTGTACGAAACATTTTTTTGTAAAAAGCATAAGAAAAAAGATTTAAGATGAGACATTAAAATATATATATATATATATATATATATATACACACACACACACACATATATATTAGTTAAACTTTTTCTATTTTTCCACGAATTTCCTTATAAAGTTAAACAATTTTGGTGCATAACATTTTTTTAAGGCGTAAAAACAGATATTTAGAATGCATCAAAGTAGCCCTCATAAACAGATATTTAGAATACATCAAAGTAGCACTCATAAACATTAATGCATACTAACGAAATAATAATTAATATAATCAGGACATTATTCATTTTATTCAGTATTTAATATAATTACTGAATGAACTTATCTGCCAAATTTGCAAAATAAATTTTAATTTAATCAGTAATTGTAAATATAATAGTAATTGTATTTAAAATTTCTAATATATTTATTGTTAAAAGTATAATATTGAATTTTTTAATATATATTATTTAATAATTAAAAAACTACACGTTAAGAGAAATAGGTAGCTGTGATCGATATAAATTTTATGAGATTATTTAATCATATATGAAATTGATTATTAGAAATAGATATAAAAACGCTATAATTAAAAAAAAATATTTTTTAAGAAAATTAATTATACATAACTTCAAATTAAATGCTTCTCAAAACAATTTTTTTCACTTTTATTAGTGTGCACGATATCTTAAGAACACTCCAACACATCAACTTTAACTGTTAAAAATTTTTCAAAACAGTTATTGAAAACTTAAAAAAATTTGTTTCAGAAAATATTTTTTATGTGTATGCTTAAAAATAAGTTTTTCAAATACAAATTTCAAATTTGATGTTAATTCTTTTCAGGAAAATGGAATATATGTTCTACTTTTTCTTTTCATTTTATAAATATGGACATATTGATATAATTTATATTTGGCAGACAAAACTTTTAAACTTACTATTTTTTGAATAACACTTTATAATTAATATATTCTTAATTATAAATAATAAAAGATGAAAAAATGCGATTTTTATCCAAGAAAAGCTGCTTGTAAATTAATAAAGTCAGAAAGTTAAAAATTTAAAGAAATGTTAAGAATATTTGATTGTACAATATATTATTTATTAAAAAATTTTTTATATATTTATTGTTGAAAAAAATTTGTTTTTATGAAAACATTGAAATAAGCATTTTTTATATTGGTTGTTTCTAAATTATATAATAAAATTAAAAGCTGAAACTTTAGAGAAATGTTAAGTATATATTTCATTGTTTATAATATATAATTTATATATTGCAAATTTTTATATATTTATTTTTGAGAAAAATTTTGATTGCATGAAAATAAGTGTTTTTTTATTATAAAAAAGCAATTTTATTTAATGCTTTCGAATTTTTTTAGATTTATAATCAGCAATTCAAAAAATCTACAAAAACTGAATTTGAGAGGACAATTTTTCTAAACAATTTCCTTCATATAATTGTTCGCCACTTTAAATTTTGGAAATTTGAATTTAGATTTGTAATTAACATCCCAAGAAATTAAAAGTTTAACTTGAATAGAAACAAAATCTTTTATACAATTTGTTCGTCATATCAAATCTGTCTCATTTTGAATTTGTTGAAATTTGACTTTAAATTTACAATCAGCGACCCAAAAAAGAAACATAAATACAAATGTTAATAAAAATCTGTTGAATAGAAAAAATGTATCCCTTCTTGAAAAGAATTCAAGTGTAAAACTTGTAAAAACTTTGAATTTTTCTTCCGAAAAATGGATTTAAGCTCTTTTTAATCAAAATAAATTTTCTTGTAGTACGGAAGTCCACGATCAAAATTTTTAAGTTATCGCTTCCTGCAAATGTTCTTATGGGTTTTGTTAATTAGACTAACTTGAGCTTAAAAACATGAATTTCAGACACTTTGAGCGTTTCTTTTTTTTTTGAGGCCATGTGTAAAGTTGTTGAGAATAGGACCCAACGAATTTATGACAACCTGTCTGATCTTTGAGATATAGTTAATTTATAGTGATGAGATACGGAAATATGAATATCAAACGGCAATCGCATTCCTTGTACTTACTGAGGAAACAGCAAAAAGGAATAATTTAAAAAGAATTTATTGCTATTTGTCTGAAGATCATTTATTACGTCAATTAGGCTCAGTTGATGCCAAAAAAATATTTTCAGACGAATGTCACGTGACCGTGAATTTTGACTACATATATAAAATGTAGGGATTTTGAAGGCGTTTAAGTTATAACAATATGTCTGAAAAGTGGTACATGATAAAATGAGATGCACAAATGTCAAAAACATTAATATCAGACAAATTGAGTATTGCATGTAGCTAATCGGACAACTTTTTACTATCGGTGGTATTATCGAGAATTAATATTTAAGAGAAACTAAAACGTCTTTTATGTCCTGTAGTGAATTATATGAAAAATTTATTTTTTTTTAATTGGAAATTGTACACACACATATGTATAACTAATTTTACAATTTATTATTCAATGCGTTTTAGTACTTTAGAGAAAAGATGTCATGCTGGATTCGCAAAATTAGCACATTTTTTCAATTTTGATATTTTAATATAAAAAATACGAAACTATTTTTGATTTTTATCAGAAACTGTAGAACTATGAAAAGTGTTATTAGAACGCTTAGTATTTTTTTGAAATTCGTAAAATGTGCCAACTTTATAGACACTTGCAAATTGATATTTCCAACAAGTTGAATTGAATAATCATTAAGTTAATACTTACAAACAATGAAATCTACAGAAATTGATTCTGTATAAAAAAATATATATTTTCTTGAATAAACAAATGCTATAAGAAAATTAACTGTTATATTAATATACAGAAAAAAATTATCAAAATGGAAATATTTCGTCTACGAGAATAGGAGATTCGGTAACGCTGGGAAAAGCGTAACAAATATTAAAAAGGGGGTGGGGCGCCGAGCGAATCTGGTACATTTTTCTCTTGTGGGGAACGCTCAAAGTATCAGAAAAACACTGATTTCGTATTCTAGGTAGTGAAAAGGTATGCTCTATACAAATTTCAAGCGAAAAGCTATAAATTCATCAAGTCCGATTCATATACAAGTTCGCTTTATTATAGCAGAAAAACGGAACGCCTTAAGTGTCTGATGTTGATAAATTCATCAATAATATAATATACTCAAATCAATTCATCTTTTCAATATCAGACGTATTGTAATAAATTTGTCGCGCTTCTTTTTTTTTCAATAGCAGACCTGACGCCTCCCAAAGACGTACCGATCTCAAATGTTCGAAACCCCCTAGTCCAGTCTAGGGTCCTCTAATTTATTAATTTTACATGATTTTAAACGGAAAGCGATGACATGGTTTTGGTCGTGGGCTCCCGTACTATATAGTAACACATTTATAATTTTTGATAAATTAAAAGAAACTCATTATGTAGATATATAGTATTTCTTTTTTATAATATAGACTTTTATGTATTCATTATTTTTAAACTAATCAGTATGTGTGTGTATTGTTTCAAAATTTATTCTAATTTTATAAGTCATTAATAAAAAAACACATATAACATTTCAAAAAAATGTCTATAAATATATTTCTTAAATAAAACCCAAATAAAATATTTAAGAATCTTTTACTTTTACTCGCGGATTTACTTAGCTTTTGTCACAGTCCCCTACCTATATTGCCCTTTTAATATTTTTAAAAACTTTCTTTTTCACTTCCGCAGGTGATTAATTGGGAAACGACGCTTCATATACCGAAACAAGCCAATCTGTCGCAAGAAAGTACGGACTTAATACTGAAACTTTGTGCCGACGCGGATCGTCGCTTGGGCAAAAACGCAAACGAGGTGAAAAATCATCCGTTCTTCGCGAGTATCGACTTCGAGAAGGGATTACGACGCCAAATGGCCCCGCATATACCTCGTATAGAATATCCGACCGACACGAGTAACTTCGATCCCGTCGATCCCGAAAAGTTACGCAACTCAGAATCGTCGGATTCAAACAAATCGGATGAATTGCTGGACAATGGCAAGCCATTTCACGGCTTCTTCGAGTTCACATTCAGACGTTTTTTCGACGACGGCGGTGGTCCTGCGTATCCTAGTCGAATCAGTTTGGACGACAACGATAATCAAGGTCCTGTTTACGTATGACATTAGGCTAAGCTTATATACGATTTATATATGTGAGCACTTTATTGCTGCCTATATTATTTTGCCGTTTGAATACTTCTATCTACCGTTCATCATTTTCTCCGTTCGACATTTTTATAGCTTGACATGATTTACCACGTCCATAACAATTTTGCTCTTTTAGACACACATTTTATTATACTCCACCTTGCCATATACATTTGACGACTTTCTATCCGATATTTAAAATATTGTAGTAATAATACTACTTTGAGTAGTAAATACTACTGTCATAATGACTAAAGTTAGCTTCTCGATTGCAAAGAAGGTATATTATACATGTAGAGTGAAGATCGTATGTCTTTGACTTGATTCTTGAGTTAGACGCATCAAGTTTAGACATTTGCATCATGTGTGTTAGCTCTGAAGATAATCACCAAATTGATAATGCATGTATGTATATATATATTGCATGTATGTATATAACAATTTTGCTCTTTTAGACACACATTTTATTATACTCCACCTTGCCATATACATTTGACGACTTTCTATCCGATATTTAAAATATTGTAGTAATAATACTACTTTGAGTAGTAAATACTACTGTCATAATGACTAAAGTTAGCTTCTCGATTGCAAAGAAGGTATATTATACATGTAGAGTGAAGATCGTATGTCTTTGACTTGATTCTTGAGTTAGACGCATCAAGTTTAGACATTTGCATCATGTGTGTTAGCTCTGAAGATAATCACCAAATTGATAATGCATGTATGTATATATATATATATACAGGGTAGGCCATTTTAATCTTTCCACTAAAATTTCTCAAAATCCAAAAATTTAAGACAAAAATGTTTCAGATAAAAGTTGTATGGTTTCAAGGGGGACATGAGATGGTGTCATTGATTTGACCTTGAATAGCCATTTGAAGGTTACGTAAAGGTCAACTTCAATTTCTTAAATGGAACACTATATTTTTTCTTGCATACTTTTGTAGCTGACTTCGAGATCTTTCCAAAACACTACAATAAAATATTTTTTCATGAAGTATTTTTCGAGTTATTAAGGCTGCAAATTTGCAGTATTTTGACATAAAATACAAAATATCTTGGGAAATATTCATTTTTCGATTATCATACCTTAATACTTTTATGCACAGAATAATGAAACGAATCAATTGGTGTAAAGAAAACACATAGTTGTCTTAAAGAAAAATTATCTAACTGCTTATTGCAATTTTCATATTTTTTTTTAAAGGTAACTATGTATTTTCTTTACATCAACTGATTTATCTCATTATTCTGTGCATAAAAGTATTAAGGTATGATAATCGAAAAATGAATATTTCCCAAGATATTTTGTATTTTATGTCAAAATACTGCAAATTTGCAGCCTTAATAACTCGAAAAATACTTCATGAAAAAATATTTTATTGTAGTGTTTTGGAAAGATCTCGAAGTCAGCTACAAAAGTATGCAAGAAAAAATATAGTGTTCCATTTAAGAAATTGAAGTTGACCTTCACGTAACCTTCAAATGGCTATTCAAGGTCAAATCAATGACACCATCTCATGTCCCCCTTGAAACCATACAACTTTTATCTGAAACATTTTTGTCTTAAATTTTTGGATTTTGAGAAATTTTAGTGGAAAGATTAAAATGGCCTACCCTGTATATATATATATATATATATATATATAGTTTGATAGGTGTCTGACCCATTAAGATTTAATATAGGACTAACAGAATGTAATATAATTTTGTTTTGTTTTCTATTTAGTGATAACGTTGCTAATTCTTAGTGCTAATATTCATGATATGTGAATATCTATACGTCATTCGTCTGACTCAAAAATATCAAAAGTAAAGAAAAAACATTAATATACACATACTATATTTTGTATATATGTACATATAGTATACATACATATATGGGGCATTATTTATGAAGTGATCCACCGAAATTTTCAAAGTTTTCCAATTATGCTGAAATTTGCAGAAAGTGTAGTCCTATCAAAAGTAAAATTATTCCTCAAGTTGTTTGGCTCACACCATACAGGCTCTGTGTTAACGAGGACTTGAATTTTTATCATTTTAGCCGTTATGTCCAACTTCAAACGTTGATAAATTTCAGAAGAATACTCCGATTTTAAAAAATAAGGTGTGATTTCGAAAGGTCTTTTTACGTACTTTAATCTTTTAAAATTAGTTTTTTTTTTATTAACAATTTGTATAAAATTTTCAAAAAACAAAGTAAAAATCAATTTTTTTCAAATTTAGACATCTTCGATTTTCTTCAAAAAAATCTTTAAAAAAAGTAGAAATCTTCTCCTTTAAAACGCTTCCAAGGCCAAGATGGGCAGGCTTTTAGTTTTCAAGATATAGTCCATTTTAGAACCAAGCGTGTCACCCATGATGCAATTCGGATGCTGTTACAAATACAGAAAGATCTGGCCAGTTCTATTGCTTGTGGTCAAGCGTGGTGACTTCTCATATATATATATATATATATATATATATATATATATATATATATATATATGTATCTCATATATTTAAGTATATCATATATATATATATACATATATTAAGTATATCATATATATACGTATAGCATATCATATATTTAACTTTTTCAAAGATTTTTTTTAAGAAAATCGAAGATGTCTAAATTTGCAAAAAATTGATTTTTACTTTGTTTTTTGAAAATTTTATACAAATTGTTAATGAAATAAAACACTAATTTTACAAGATTAAAGCACGTAAAAAGGTCTTTCGAAATCACATCTTATTTTTTAAAATCAGAGTAGTCTTCTGAAATTTATCAACGTTTGAAGTTAGACGTAATGGCCAAAATGATAAAAATTCAAGTCTCTGTTACACAGAGCCTGTATGGTGTGGGCCAAACAACTTGAGGAATAATTTTACTTTTGATAGGATTACACTTTCTGCAAATTTCAGCGCTATTGAAAAACTTTGAAAATTTCGGTGGATCACTTCATAAATAATGCCCCATATGTGTATATGTATATACATATATTTTATTAATGCCTTAGCAATCTTTATATCTAAGATTTTATTTATGGTCGGGCAAAATGTGTCAAAATATTCTTCTGAATTAATATTAACTGACTTAAAAATCAGTTTTTTGAAATTTGTAAGTATTATATGTCCAAAAAGTTAAACGTAAGATTAGAAGCTAAAGTAATTCATGAAACGTTATATATATATATATATATATATATATATATATATATATATATATATATATATATATATACACATATGTTACGTTAATTAATAAAAATGTAGTTTTAAATTATTTAATATGCACATGAATAATTCGGTATGATGCATTGATATTTAGATCAAGTAAAAAATTAAAAAATTCTAATAGTGTTGAGGCATTAATACATCTTAGCTTATGACAAAATATTGATGCATGCATAACTGCATATGTGCTAGCAACCAATCCGCATATCTAAACAAAAATCTAATTATATGACAAATACACTGAATTTTTAATAGAAATTGGAAAAAGTTCTGATGCACCAAATTTGATTGGAAGGAGATAGCGACAATGGAATATCTTTGTCTCTCTCAATACAAATTAGTAAGAAAACTGACATTCTACAAAGACATAAATTGCTTAATTAAAGTGAACTCTGACTTTTTAACAAGACACATACAAAGCTTTCAATACATATGCGTTTAAAGAACAGAAATATCCTTTAAGATTCCCTTGAATTCTTTTCTCTGTACTAATTATAATATAAAAAATTATTTTTAAATTATATTAAATTTACGTGTCTCGTGCACATTTACAAGACAGCAAAAAATTAAATTTTCACATTCTTCACACACAAACATCCGTGTTGGGCTCTTACAGCCAATTTTATTTCAAGTTATTCAATATTGAGAGCTGTACAGTACGTTATATTAAATTCAGTTGGAGAAAATGATCTAAAAGAGAGATAATCTTTTTGGGTCATTCTGTTTTTTATTTGCACATGTATGATACAAACCACATTAAAAATTTAGTAATGTTATAAGGCAATATAAGGGAAAAAGTGAGAGTTTGAAGTGATCACTTTTCTTTTTCATTCTTTACACTAATTGCATAATTAAATAAGGAAAGCATCTTACTTTCTTAATTATTTTATAACATTGTCTTTGAGTTTCAAAGGATCCGGAAACATTTAATTTATTTACATATGCTATAGTAAACTGGAATGTAATGTCCATATCAGACATAAGACGTTTTGATTGCACTAAAAGAGACAATAATTGCATTTTCAGTAAAACAAAATGCTCAAGTGTTACAATTATAGCGATTTAAAGAGGATGGGATTAATAATACATTGAAACGAGTTTTTACACAATATCTTTTCTTTGCTAGATTGCCATTTTTAATGCGCAATACTACAATTGTGCATTTAAGTTCTTTGTTATGAAAAGAAACAACATTGAATACGTTTACATGGCTTGTAACTTTGGCTTAGTAACACTGATGTTATAACTCCTACTTAAAATGAGTTGCGTTTACACGTTCAGGCTTATCTTATTCCCATCAAGCTGAAATAGCCAATAATTTTCGAATGAGTCAAGGATTTCCTTTAGCACTAATATAAAAGTACAAAAAATTAGATGCTTGTTTGTAATAAGATTGTGATCTGAATGTAAAAGCAACCATTTACACCAATGCGACCTTTTTACACCGATGTAGTAACCCTACGCCTGTTCACCAAACGACTTTGAGTTACTACATTGATGTAATAATTTCGTCAGAAAAAGGAGATTTACACGGCATCTAACGTCAATAGTTCTAACATCGATATTGTAACTTTGGCTTAAATTGAGCCGTGTAAATATAATCCTTATCTCAGTTTCGCTATATATCAATAATAATAGTAGCAGAATCTGACCTTCACGAATACAGTCTTCTTAATTTTTGTCTTTCTGCAACGTGGAAAGTTTTTGGAAAATTTTACGGACCTTCTTCACAGTGTGAGTCATTCTATAACCAAATATACTTGTCTCATTTTAATTTATTGCACTAGTTCACCAGTGCAGTAATAAAAAACAAACTCCATATTAGGCTGGTTTTCTGCTCCTGCACTAATGAACTAGTGCACACTGGTGCAATAAGTTAGAATGGGACAAGTATATTTTGTCCCACGTGAAAATAACTGCGCATGCGCAGCTGCACGTTGCATCATCTATTTCCATCGTGGCACTGCATTTCATCAGAATGGAAAATTTGATCTGATTGATTAACCCGCAACTGTCAACTAGCAACGAGGCATTTGCAATCTATTGTAAAAAGAATTAATCAATCACAGTTAAATATGAGAAGAATAATCGAATATAATTGATTAATTTCTTACTTAATTTCTTACTGCTTAAGGTTTACTACATTTATTGTAGATTCCAGCCTTATGCATTTTTTCCAGCAAGAAACACATAAATACATAATGTCATACGATTGTTTATCAAATAGAACAATTTGAGGGTTTACAAAATTTTATATTGTAAGGATGGTCTTGTCCGGGATATGATCTGGTTGCTAATCAGTTTTCTCGTGTTTGAAATGCAAAGTAATATATTTAGCTTAACAGACAAATGGCTTTGATACGGCGTTGGAGTAAACTCAGCTCAAGGATCTCCGATGGTCCGACTTGACCTTTCTCAGAAATTTTCTCGCTTTATTAACTGTGACCCGACTTGGTCGACACTCTCAACAGAACGCTCGCTCTCTCGAACACTGCGTTACCTCGAGGCCTCGATTCTCTTATCCCCCTCTCTCGAAAGGGAGCGCATCGCCTAATTCACGGATTCTCATCCCCCTCAATCCTACTTATCAATCACGTATCTATATGCTTTGTATTTTGGTCTTCAAATTTTCGGAAATCCTTACAGTTCGGCCAGCCTGATCTCGTGTTCGACCCTGAACAACGCTCGCATACATATCGATACAAATACGATTTAGATATATATATATATATATATATATATATATATATATTTTCAAAAAGAAAACAAATAAAGTATACTTATAATTATTCCTTGTAACCACACAATAAATCGGGATTTACAATAACTTCGGTATTTACATTCACGTGTCAGAATTCTCCTTGTTATTCTTATCACTATCCTCGTCTTTATTATTGTCCTCGTCTTCGTTTTCGTTCGTTTCTGTCGGCTCAGGGCAATCACCTATTCGGATCCACAGTTTTAATTTATCCGCAGACAATATTGCATTATACGGTTTCTGAATTCTATTATACCCCTTTTTGTCGGCTACCACGTACCGATTTTTCTTTAGCACGGCTTTAATTTCGTAAGGATCTTTATATTTTGGGAGCAACTTCGAGTTCGTCCCTGTTTTAACTGTCAATCTCCTAATCATCACGAGATCGCCCACGTTATACAACGACGGTTTTTTGTGTCGCTTATCATAGTATGATTTATTGTATTCCTGGATCGCTTGATTTGCTAATTTCGCATTGTCTCGCATCGCCGCTCGCTTTTCTACTAGATCGGTATCAATTTTTGTTAGTGTATCAATAATTTCGCACAGGTCCCTGTCGCTATGATTTCGCTGACTATATCCTAAATACTCGGAGAAGTGTTTACAGGCTTGTGGTGTGTATTATTTAATACGTATTGGACGTCTTTTAATTTCGCTTCCCACTCGTCGGCATTATCAGTCGTTTTAGCTAATATACTTTTTAAAAGGCGATTTACTCTCTCAACCTGTCCGTTCGCCCAGGGAGACGCAACTGCTACTTTTACATGTTTTACGTTAAATCTGGACGTTAAATTATCGTAATCTCGTGAAGTAAAGCTGCTGCCTCTATCGCTAATGATACGTCGCGGCATTCTAAAAATACTAAACAGGAAAACTAGGTGTTTTTCGACTTCTTTTGTATTCGTAGTCTTAGTTGAAGACAACCAAACGTATTTAGTGAAGGCATCGACCACCAGTAATACTATATGTATTTGTATTTTCCCGGGGACGCCTCTAACGCTCGCTCTCTCGAACACTGCGTTACCTCGAGGCCTCGATTCTCTTATCCCCCTCTCTCGAAAGAGAGCGCATCGGATTCTCAACCCCCTCAATCCTACTTATCAATCACATATCTATATATATGCTTTATATTTTGGTCTTCAAATTTTCGGGAACCCTTACAATATTTGATAGCTAATTGCATGAACATTGTGTCTATTTATGTTTTCCTGTAAAAAATTCCCTGGCACAAAGTTCTGTATTTTTATTTGACGTTATGACGTTATCCAGGTAACAGATTGACGTCATTAAATGTCAAAATGACATTTTGACGTCGTTATTTTTACGTTTAATGACGTCATTTTGACGTTTAATGACATCAGTCTGCTACTTGGATAGATTTCAGCGTCAGAAAACATCACATGATTAAGATTGACGAATTGTTATCTTTATTTTTGGTTATGCAACGGCTTCTGATGTTAAAATTCAGCATTACTACATTAAGTGAAAATCCAGCCTAAAGTTTTTGTATGCAAAACGTGTCGACTTATATTAATTTTTCACACAATACAAAAGTATAAGCAACAGAAATAAGGAATAACACAGGCAACAAAAATAACATTTCAACTTAAGAGGAACTGACAATGAGTATCAACACATATAAGTAATAACATGGTCTTACATATAGGTCCTGAAATTCTAGTAGTGAAGAAAGGATCTTAATTTTCCAATTTCCAGCAATGAAACACACAGTCATACATTGCGACACAATATTGCACAATAGTTTTACATGATCATTTGATACAGTCCGTTAGCGTCCTTTGGCGACGTGAGTGGACGTATTTCGTCTTTCTTTCATTGCCATTTTTTTGCGTGTGAAATATATTTTTTTGGAAATCCTTCAGATTCAGATTTGGGATCTGAGACTTAAATTCAATCCGTCAATTAATGGCGTATGAGCAATCCCTATAGCTCAAGCAGCCAAAAAGAAAAAGAAGAAAGATCATTTGATACTCATATCAAATACTGATCAGTGAACTTTTTTACTTCATCACCAGAGTATGGAATAGTCATTTTACATAGCTTTTTTAAAGTTTTATTAACTTTTTAAGTTTAACACATAATTATAAGTATGTAAAATATACCGGCTGTAAGAGCCTTTTTAAGTTAAGTTTTTTATTTCTTTAAGTTTTTCTAAAAGCTTATTTTTTACCGGAATACTAATAGAAAAAATGGTACTAAACATAAAAATATTGATATCTACGGAATGAAAAATAATAACATAGTCGAACACAACATTTCAGCTGTATATAATTGTGTCTGCATTTGTTTTTTACTGGTAGTACTGAAAATTTATAATATATGTAACGTCAACTATAAATTTCCAGTATTGGCAGTAAAAAAAAGCGAACGCAGGCTGTATCGACTTATAATTGAAAAGCACTGTAATCCATACTAGATGCTTTTCCATAAACGCAACTTACTAGCTTTTTTACTTCACTGCCAAAGTGCAGAACAGTTACTTTACATAATTTTTTCAAAGTTATACGTTTTTAAATTTAAACTATTTTGTAAAATTTACTTCCTACCGGAATATCATTCTATATAAAAAAATAATACCAAATGTACAAATATTTATTTATAGAGTAACACAAATGATGACAGTCAAATACAACATTTTATTTGTGTACAATTGTGTTATCTTGTGTCGTAATTTGAAAGCATTAGGTCGTATACTGTGTTATTCGATTTGTCTGTGTACGTTACTGGAAAGTGGGGGACAAATTCGGAAATAGATGCAAGTAAAGGATGCAAACGCTACTGAAATATATACTAACTGTAACGAGAAAGAGCATGCCAAAGGGTTTCGAACAGCATTCTGTCCTTATTTAATACTTTGTACTCGGTCTTCTCATCATGGTATGTCATCTTCTCCACTCTTGACCACACTGTGAGCTAAAGAAGGATAAGCAAGGAACTTGGGACTTCTCTCTCGTGCTGTTCGCTTACCATTTTTGCATAACAGTGCTCATTCTAGTTAGTATATATTTCAATAACTATACATCTATACAAATTTGTCCAGATATATAGACTTTCATTACTTATGTCTTATTGCTTACATTTTTTGTGTACTATGGGCCTATAAGGTCAGATCAGATTTAGGAATAACTGGATGAGGCGTATGAGAGAGGAAGTGAAGTCAGTCGTTATCTTTTTCGATTTAGAATGCAAAAACTTTTTAATGTGTATGTTTTACTTTTATATATACAGCGTCCAGTAATCCCCGCAATAGTCGTCGTGTGTAGAGTAAAATAGAATGGGAAAGTCCTTTATTGTTTTGTAATTTTCACAATATTTATGAAGAAAATAATTAAAAAAGATCGGCTAATCCGCGCGAGTAGAAATGCGAGGCGAGAAGAGATTTCCGCCGAAGTAGTGAAGGAAAACTGTATAAAAAATAACTATGTGTATAAGCAGCGGATAACATTGGATTCCCGAGTTGGGCTGTTTTTGCTACGCGCTTCTACTCGCACGAATTGGTCGATCTTTTTCAATTATTTTATAAAAATAATTATTGTGAAAATTAACAGAAAGATCCAAAAAGAATTTTTTACTCGGTTCCATTCTATCTGCATATGATAGCTGATGCAGGAATTACGCTGGACACTCCCCAGCCAGAAATGAATGATCAAATTGACATCGAATTGATGTCGATTCGACATCGATTTATCTAATCGATGTTGATTCAACGATGGATCGACGTCAATTCGTCGTCGAATCGACGTCAATTCGATATTATTTCTGATTGGGTCTGTATATAGGTTGTCTGGTTAAGATTATGCCAATATTCGTGAGCAGGTAGAGCATAGTAAACTGAACAGAAAAGTCTTTTACCATTTTGCAATTTTTACAATAATTATTGAAATTAATTAAAAAGTAATGAGCGTGTTTAGAGCATAGGACGTACATTGTAGACATATCGGTGTCTCGCTTACTGATAGGCTGACCGCTATGTTGGTCCCGTAATGAATCCTGTGTGCAAACTAAGTGAGAAAACAGTATATTTAAAATGTTATTTAAAAAAAAACATCACTAAGACATTTCAGAAACATATTTGAGATATACATGTTGTGTAGATTAGAGTTATATTATACCATAATTTGTACCTGCATGTGCCTGTAATTGCATGAAACGGATGAGTTTTTATTCGAGCCCGAGCCAGTTCTCTCAGTGAACAATCAGTATAACTGTGCGCTCATTCATCGATTTTTTAAATTAATATTTTAATAATTATTGCGAAAATGACAAAGGATGTTTCTGTTTAGATTACTGTGCTCTACTCGCTTACTATAGCGTTTGCACAATTTTTATCAGATCCTGCATATGTTTATATAAAAGTAAAATATTTATTTTTCGATGATCTTATTTCAACACTTTTATGTATAAATTAATGAGAGGAATCAATTGATGTAAAGTAAACATAGTTGTTTTAAGAAAAAGTATGTTGCAATTAGCAACTATATATATATATATATTTTCGAGATATTTTATAATTTATGTAAAAAAATTATGCAAATTAAAGTACAAAATATCTCGTAAACTATTTATTTTTTGGCTGTCTACCTTCATAACTTTTTATGTCACATATTGCAAGAAATCGATTTATATAAAAAAATTAAATGATTTCATTTAAAAAACTAGGTTGTTTCTAACAACCTAGGGAGCTTCAAACAACTTTGTAAAATGATCTTAGCTAAAATTTAAGATTATCAACTTTTTTCCTTATCAAAATTTTTTAACTTTTGTATAAAATAAATTTTTTCGTTACAACCATAGTTTCAGTAATAGGATATAATTTGCTATATTAATTAAAATGGGACATTTATTTTAATATATTTTTAATATATTTAATATATTTTTCATTTATATATCACTTGTATTAATTTGATAATTAATTTCAATGATAATTGAAATGCTTAATTCATTGTGAAAACAGGATTTATGAC